TAACTCCGATGGCTCCATCGCCTTCACTAAGCACTCAAGTTCGAGCTGCTTCCTCTCCACGGACTCTAGGTCGTCTTTCCAGTCCACTAAGCCCTACACGTGGATTGGCTTCCGCTTTCATGGAAAGTCCGATGCACAGTGGTTCAGATGTGTACCACACCCCTGTTGTTGGAAGACAAACGACACCACCGCCTACGGAAGCAGAAAAGAAGCTACTAGACGATTTTATTAAAACACCGACGCCCCCGCGACCTACAAAAGGAGATGATTCCGCTTCAGTTAATAACAACAAGCGGAAAAGAGCAGCAGTCGCTTTTGAGGCGCCAGTGACCCCTGCCAACAAAAAGAGAAAGAAAAACTTCAAGACGCCATATCCTGAATCTGAAGACGAAGATGAAGATGACGAAATCGACGAAGATGAAGGTGATGAAGGGATAAATTCATTTATTGGGCATTTGTCTACCCGAAATTTGACAAGTCAGGACCAGGGATCTTTTGCTGTCCAAACACAACAGCCCGAAGGAGAATGGGAGGATGAAGACGTGGATGTACAACTCTCTCAGCAAAGAGGAGCCCCTTTAGAGGATCAAGTCGACTCCATTCTCGACGATGATGGCAAATATGAAATAGAGAGCCAAACTGACGAGACGGCATTGACCGAGGATGGTGCTTCTTTCTCACCAGTCGTAAATAGTTAGGAGGTCGATTATTATTATTTCAATTACTAGCTTTCTACATCGGATGACACCGTTCCGAACCAAATCATTCAGTGCTTTGTATGCGTATTATCACCATTAATCCGAACTACTTTTATGCCACTCCCTTGTACGTAGAATCGACTCTTTCAGCAACTGTACCTACGCCTCCCCACATTGCGAGTATTCCCGCCACATCGACGGCGACCATACTGAGAGCCCCTAGCATGTATCTTGGTGCAAATACTTTCCAGACCATCAAGTGTCGTCTGAGAATCATTGAGCATGTTGAAATAAACAGTAAAATGGTGGCATGATAGGCTCCCATCGACAAAGTTGCTCGTAGGGTGCCTCGTATTATACGACTCTTTCGAGTTGCGATGCTTTCCAATTGGGCAAATGGCTCTACGGCCCACATGCCAATGAGAGGAGTGCACAGGCCGAAAAAGGCGACAGGGCCAATCGTATTTAGAACGACAGTTATTGGCGATGTCATTCCTCGATCGGCTGTAAAAATGAATGCTGACTTCCACTGGAGGGAGCTAAGAGTGGCTTGATGTCCGGTGGCATAAAATACTTGGAGACTTAGGAGGGCGATTGGCATGGCTTCCGTAAATG